ATATTTCTTATAATATAATTTCTTATATAATATCTCAATGGACCATAAACTGGAGGAAAAAGTATCTTGTGTTGACTCTTCCCTTGACTTAAGCAGATTTTTCTCAGCTTCAATGTGGGAGGAATGTTATTGTCAACCTGATTTTGTTGAAAAAATGTATATAATGTGGATAAGAATGCTACATCAGTTTGAAATGGGATTGAGTATTTCAACTACCAGTTATTTTTACAACATGATTGTAAAAATATTGATCAAGATAACATCCATTTCAGATGTAAGGTTGAATCAGAAATAAAATCCTTTCTGAATGAAGAGAATGTTGGAAATGAATGTCTTTCTGACCTTACTGATTTTGGTAAGTTGGGTTTTTTTTTAAATTCTGTATGCAAAGGCGGGTTTTGTTTTGAAGAATGGAAATAACCAATCTCCAAATAAAACTTTGCTATAATTACATGTCCTTTAAGAAATTTTTAATTCTACTATTTCCTTTATTCAATTTTGTTTTTTTATAGAACAAGAGTTGTCGAAAGAGTGGTGCGCATATCTGAAAAATGTGGTAGATCCTGTTCACCAGTTGCTAGCAGATCTGAAATACAGAAAGTGTCATATTTCACAACATTCAGACCCACATTTTCAATTTAACTCAGTGGAAGTGCTGAAAGAGGTTAGTATGTTACATTTACTTATTTTTCCCCCCTGACTCCACTTTTTTTTCTTTCTCTCTGATGACCACTAATCTTCTTTTGCCTCAATGAATTTGTCTAGCCTAGATTGGTTTTTTTTGCTTCCAACCTATTTCACTTAGTATGCTTTTGACATTCATCCCTGAAGAGGAAAGTATCAGAAATTTATTTCATTAAGTAGATAGTAGATACACATTAAGATGAATGAAAGGAAAGGTGTTATACAATAAGAGGGTGAAAAGCAGTATCTCTAGAGAAATGGAAAACAGGAAAAGGTGTGCAAGTGATACAGGGTGAAGTGTATACATAATTGTATGCGTAACCTTGAACTTAGTAATGACAAACATTAGTCTACAAGTGAATATATTATTAGGCAGGCAAGATAAAAAGATATGGACAGGTAAAAGGAATTATACTCATGACTGTATGAAAGCTTGCTAAATGATAAATTAACCTACACATTTGAACATACTTTAAATACATCCATGTCTGTGGTTGAGCATTACAAAGAGGTAACCCCACAGAAACTTCTTTATCATAATCAAACACTCTGAAAGAATGAGTTCTGAGTTCTGGGGTCTCAAGACCATATACCTTTTGTGTGTGTGTGTGTGTGTGTATGTGTTGGTTTTTTTTTGGGGGGTGTTTGTTTTGCTTTCTTTCTTTAAAAAATTATTATTAATTTCAATGAAAATTTACAGAGACTTTGGATTTCCATTCATTCATTGTTGCACTTTTCTCCCCTCCCAACCCTCCCCCTGAGTATACTGCCCTCTTGGAAAAGTAAAAGAAAAATTCTTTCATTGTTTTACAATCCCTCCCCCCGGTCTACTCCACTATGCAGCCTTTGCTCTGGACTCGTGTCATGACAAAAATACCTAATAATTTTCCCTCTTAAACAGTTTTCTCCCTCATCTGTTTCAATGCATTATTGAACCTATCCTCAGTCTCCTCCCAACCTCGAGGTCAGTCCTACTTTTTACAACAGTGGCATCATGCAGTATTTGTCCTTTTGTGACTGAGATACTTCACTCAGCATAATGTCCTTCAGGGTCACCCATTTTGAATAATATTGCATGAGTTCCTTGTTTTTCAATGCAGCATAGTATTCTATTGCATGAATATACCACAGCTTCTCTATCCATTTGTTTGTTGAGGGTACTTAGGTTGTTTCCAACTCCTTGTTATTATGAACAAAGCTGTGATAAACATGGGTATGCATATATCTGCTTGGATGTCAGTTATGGTCTCTTTGGGGTATATTCCCAGGAGTGGAACTGCTGGGTCAAGTGGTATCTCTACTTGCAACTTTTTGAGAAAGTGCCATACTGCCTTCCACAGTGGTTGCACCATTTTACACTTCTACCAACAGTGAATAAGGGTTCCAGTTTCTCCACAACCAAGGACATCAAAAGCAAAAGACATAATGTAATCCACCATAGCAATGTTCTGCATCCTATTTTGGTGGCCATCTAAGGTGCAACTATTTTTTTTCCAGTGTGGAACAAAGAAGATCAAAGACAGCCAATGATGTGCAGAAACAATTAGTCCAAAGGACTAAAAGATCACATAAACTTCAACCTTTATTACTCAGACCAGAAGAGCTGGATGGTGGTGACTGCAGATCACTCTAAATGCAATTAAATTAGAAGGTCTTGCATTCAGTGGGAGAAAAATATGGAACAAACTAAAAAATCACAAAAATGACCAGGCTTGCTGTTAAAAGAGCTTTTAAGCTGTGGTCCTTAGTAATCCTTAGAACTTAGAACTAAATCCACTCCTGTTGTTTAACTTTCAGCCAAAAATTAGGCATTCTTATAAAGGGAATACCAACGTTAAGCCAACTAATAGGCATTCTGACTCACTTATTAGATCAACCAGTCATTCAAGATCCTAAGATGAAAATAGAAATACCTTTTGACTAAGCAATTCCACTACTAGGAAATATACCCTGAACAAATCAGAACTGTAATTCAAACAGATGTATGCAAACCCGTTTTTATTGCCAATAGCAATAAACATTATTCATAATAAGATGAAAGCAATCCAAGTGCCCATCAACAAACAAATGGATTGAAAAACTATGATATATTCACACAATGGAATTTTATGCAGCATTAAAAAACAATGAATTTGTAAAACATTACAAAATATGCATGATTGAAAGACATTATGCTTAGTGAAATATCTTGGTAAAAAAAGGACAAATACTGCATAACATTACTGTTGTAAAATAAGATTGATACATGGGAATGAGGGGAGAATAAGAAAAGAGTGGACAGCTAAAGAACACTGTATTGGAACAGATGAAGGGAAGAACTGTCTGAAAGGAATGTCTGATTAGGCATTATATGTATGACAAGAGTCTGGAACAAGAAGTGCATCACAAAGTGGACTAAGAGGGCAGAATGAAGGGGTGGGATGAAAATGTATTACAATGAATACATGAAAACCCGACTTTTCTGTAAACTTTCATTAATATCACAATACAAATATTACCAAATGACTATTTAAAAACCCAAAGAAGCTCATAAGGGTAACATTTGGCTAGGGAGAAATCTCAGAAGAAAGAGAAAGGGGGGGAAAACCCCCACAAAAAAGTAATTTCTTTTTAGGTCTAAATAAGACCCTATCATTTGTATATGTTACTTTCTGATTATTCACCTATTTCTTAATGTACCCTTGAGTTATCCTCATCTTTTGGCTATTTAGAATAATACTGTAGTAAAAAATTTTCCATATATCTTACTGAATCTCTCCTTTCAATTAATATTGAAAACCCATGATTTCCTGATTCAAAATGGCCAGCACTAGTCCACCTAATGCATAAGATGTCGATCTCTCTGTGTTCTATTTCAGTTTTTTATAACTTCCAGTTTTCTTAGATTCATGTATTATTTTTCCATTTTTCAATTATTATTAGATGTTTGTAGGTATTCTCATTTTGAGTCTTGCCACATCAGCAAATGAAGGTCCTTCCTAGATAAAAGTTTTGCTGTATTATTATCATTATAGTAGACTTTACTTTCATCTCCAGTTCCATTGTGAGTGCCTTCCAACCTTAGTGACTATCTTCCTGTACTTTATCCAGCAATGGTCTTCTGCTGTCCGTAGGGTTTTCAAAGACTTATTATTTCAGAAATGATTGATCAGTCATACTTCTTAGTCTGGTAGCACTTCTGAAACCTGTCCACTGTGAGTGGCCCTGCTGGTATTTGAAATACCAGTGGCCCAGCTTTCACAGTCAAAACAACACACTAGCCACCACAGAATGGGGCACTGACAGACAAGTGGTGGTCTGACAGGCCACCTTTTGGGAGTCCAAAATGTAATCCAGTAGATTGCGGGAATTAGTGAACAATATCCTTAATATCCCATGTAAGTAAAATTTTGTGAAGATTATTAAAAATGATGGAATACTACATTGACAGGGAACTGCCAGAAATTGAAGATGGATTCAGTAGAGGTTGTGGCACAAGGGATAGCATTGTTGATGTCAAGTAGATATTGGCTGAAGGCAGAGAATACCAGAAAGATGTTTACTTGTATTTTATTGAATATGCAAAAGAATTTGACTGTGTAGGTAATGAAAAAAAACAAAACAAAACAAAAAAACACAAAAAAAACAAACTATGGCTACTATTTAGTAGAATGGGAATTCCAGAACTTTAAATTGATCTCCTGTGAATCTTATACATAGAACAAGAAGCAGCTGTCTGAACAAAACAAGGAAATAGTACGCAGTTTAAAATCAGGAAAGATGTGCATCAGAGTTCTAGCCTCTCTCCTTATCTATTCAATCTGTATGCTGAGGAAATGATTCAGGATGCTGAACTATTTGAAGAGGAATATGGCATCAGGATTGGAGGAAGACTTATCAACAACTTGCATGATGCAGATGACACAACTTTGCTTGCAGAAGACATAGAAGCCTTGAAACACTTGCTGAAGAAGATAAAAGATTGTAATAGCCTGAAATATGGGTTGTATCTTAATATCAAGAAAACAAAAATCTTCACCACTGAACTAAAAAGTAACATCATGATATGTGGAGGAAAAGATTGAAATTTCCGACAATTTTATTTTACTTGGGTCAACAATCAGTACCCATGGAGGCAGCAGTCAAAAATCTCATAAGCCATATTGAGTTGGGGAAATCTATCAAGCACCTTTCCAAAGTGCTAAAAGATGTTAGTTTCAAGGCTAAGGTGCACCTGATCCAAACCATTGTCTTTAATTGCCTTCTTTGGACTAGAAAATTGGACAGTGAATAAGACTGAAGAAGAATCAATGCCTTGAATTGTGGTGTTGGTGAAGAGTATCGAATACTCCATGAACAGATAAAAGAACAAACAAATATGTCTTGAAGGAAGTGCATTATGCCGATAAGAAATGACTGTAGTGCAACCAGGGTGTTCCTCAGTAGCAAAGATGGTGAAACTTCCTCTCACTTCCTATGGGCATTTTTTTTTTCAAGAGGAACCAGTTCTTGGAGAGAGACATCATGCTAGGAAAGGTGGAGGTTAAGAGAAAGAGAGGAAGACCCTCCAGGGAATGAGTCGATGAAGTGACTACCACAACAGCCTTGATCATGACAGAGATGATGAGAATGGGGCAGGATAGGGCTAGTTCAGATCTATTGCTTATAGGATTACTGTGAATCATAGCTCACTTGAAGGCACTTAGAGCAATGACAACAATTTTCAGTTTTATAGACTTTTATCTGGAAGTTGAATTGCTGGGGTTTATGGTCATTCTAGGAGCATTACCTAGTGACAAGAAGCTGCACTGCAATGCCAATGGCACACAGTTCAAATACACCAGCTGTTCCACAGGCAGTCTCCTCCAGTGCAATTAACTGTCTCTGAAAACCTGCCAGTGGGTCAGCTACAGGTCTGTCTCAACTCGACGGTACACCACAACTACAACAAGGGAACTCTGGTGACATAGACCCTGGAGAGTTACACAGCTAACAGAAAACAAACCTTCTCTGGTATTTGGAAACCACTAGCTTCTCCACAGAATAAAAGTAGGCAATCTCCTTCTGTGTGATTTAGCTTTGGGAAACCTACTGGAAGGTCAGCTATGAGTCAGGTCCATTCTGATGACAGTGAATTGAGTTTGAGTTTCTGGACAGCACAGAGAATTAAACTGTACTAACCAAAATTTTGGTAGTTTGAATCCACCTAGAGATAAACCTACAAAGAAAGACCTGACATTTTACTTAAAAAGATCACAACCATCAGAAACCCCATAGAGTGTATTTCTTCTCTAAAACTCAGGATCACCATCAATAAAAACAGACTTGATGGAATACTATGCATCACTCAGGAATAATGATTTAAAAATATATAACATGATTAACTCAGTTTCATAAGAACAAATATTACATATAATAATGTTCTTCCATTATTGTAGAAATAGAGTGATAACTAGTAAGATTTGTCTAAAAGTCCAAAGGGGGAAAGGAGGAGGGCAGGGAGGCTGGGGGTGGGGAGAGGGGAATTCAAAGGATCATAGAATTGGTGTGTAGAGGGATGGAGGGAAGACATTAGAATAGATCATTTGGAACCTGAAAAGACAGGGTAATAGGCATAGTTCAATGGTAATTAATTTTATAAAACACAGTGTATACAAATGATTATACGAAACACAATATGAATGAAGGAATGTGTAAAACACAATGTGTATTAATGAAACACAGTGGATATAACTTTTATATGCAAACCAATAAAAATTTTTAAAAAATAGACTTGAGAGGAAGTTCTTGTTTGTTTTTAAGACCCTTTTAGGTACCAGCAAACCATTTGTTTCTGCCTTAGTTATTTAGAGATAACCACGCATGGATAACGTTAGCAAATTTACTTTCTTGTGGAGTAACATGCTCAAACTTGTCTCATTGCCATGGAGTTGGAACAGACTTTGACAGTTACTATTATTTTTGAGAATGGAATATTTCTTTTTTTTTGGTCCAAATTGAAATGAGACACAAAGAAATGTGCTTTTGGTTTGAGTAGACCGTAGAGCAAATTATGACTACTCTGTATCTTTAATCTGCCCGGGAATTTTCTTTATGCCTTCTAAGAACCCACTGAAGAGTCAGCTATGATTCAGTTCTGCCTTAATCACAACTGAGTTACAATGTAGGATGCCCAAATTCATCTTATTACTGTGGATTTACTCAGCTGACTTTCCAGTGGATATCTGAGTCTATAAATTCCACAAGAGGAAAGTATCTTTCTTTGTTGGAGTCACTGGTGGACTCAAAAATACCAGAGATGTGCGCTTTGGGTAAGCCACGCACTCCTCATGGACCACACCACCAAAGATCCAAATTCAGGGTGTGGGCCCTAGGGGATGGCTTTCTCTTGTGGTTCCTGGGTCTAGGAATTTTGCAGCACAGGAACTTGAACCCAAAGGAGGTGCTCCACTCCTGGAATTTGTCTCTTGGTTTTGTATAAGTCCACTTTATCTACTTGTTCTCCTCCCCTTTTACCTTTTTTAACAAAAAAGATGTTCCACACTCAAGGGAAGCTCCTGTTTCATGGATCAGGGCTATTATATGTTTAAGTCTGTGGCATCCTACCCTTAATCTTTTTATAATTTCTTGCTTTATTGATTAATGGGCGATAATCACGTAACTTTCAGATTTCATGAATATACTTCTGGGAGGTACAGTTAAATCTATGGCAATTACCATTGTTTTTGAGACTATAATATTTAATTTTTATGCAAATTAAAATAATTTGAGGTAAAAATAAATATGTGTGTTATGATTTTAAGTATATTATACAGCAAATTAGGGAACTCTTATGTCTTAGTGGATAAGGAGTTGTGCAGCCATCCTAAAGGCAGGAGATTCAAATATACCATGGGAAAAAGATGGGCAAGCTCCTTCTGTGCCGTTTACAGCCTCTGACAGGCTACTGGAGGGTTAGCTATGAGTTGGTTCCCATTTGATGACACACAGTAACAACAATGTACAGCAAATTATGACTAATTCTGTATATTGAATGTCTTGAAGCACTTTCTTTTTTTGGTTGGAATTTTGTACTGGGCTTGTAAGTTGTCTCTGTGCTTTTTATTCTTAGTATTCTTCTTTTTTAAGAAAAAAAGATCAAATCGTTCCTGCTAAATAGTCCCCCAGGGCTCCTACTGGTTCTCAATTCTTCCCTATCTGACAGGCTTCAATGCCACTTCCTCTATGTCAGCTCCCTTTCCCAAAGGAACTCAAACACACTGATGTTGGCCTTCGTTCTATTGCTCACACATGCCACGTTCTCTCTTCTCAAGGCTTTTGCACTATTTCTTCTGTTCCATGATGGCACTCTGTAGCATTTAACTGCTTTAATGCTGCCTTATCCAAGAGATCTATCTTTATCACACACACAAAAGAAACTACACTTACTCCCTAACACATCATCTTGATTTTATTATAAGTACATCATTTATCCCCTCTGGGAACTTTCTTCTATATTTTTTTCTGATTAACTTATTGACTGCCTCCTCTGACTAGAGCATCAATGTATTTGTACTAGGTGTAAGAGTTTTGGGTGCTTTTTATTGCTCTACTTTTCAGTTACTCTGTTGTTGTTAAGTGCCATCAAAATGACTGTGACTCAGAGAACCTAGGAACAACAGATACGAACCTTTCCTTCTCCTAACTGACCCTCACCATGTCTGATATACAGGAACCCATTGTTACAGTCACTGAAATCAATCTTTTTCATGGTCTTCCCCAGATCCTCTAGCTTTCCCAGCAAGATGTCTTTTTCTAAGGACTGGGCCCTCCTTTAACATGCCTAAAGTATAATGAGATGCAGTGTCACTATTCTTGCCTCTAAGGAGCACCCTGGTTGCCCTTCCTCCAAACAGATTGATTTGTTTCCTTGGAAGTTCATGGTATTTCCAGTACTCTTTTCTTCTTGTTCCGTAATGTTGCTATAATGTTTATAATAATCATCATCATACCACGCTGCATTGAAAAACAAGGAACTCATGCAATATTATTCAAAATGGGTGACCCTGGAGGACATTATGCTGAGTGAAGTATCTCAGTCACAAAAGGACAAATAGTGCATGGTGCCACTGTTGTAAAATAGGACTGACATTGGGATTCGGGGGAGACTGAGAAAGATGGGTTAAATAATGTATACTGCATTGAAACAGATGAGGGAGAAAACTCTTTAAAAGGGATATGTGATTAGGTATTTTTGTCATGACGGGAGTCCAGAGCGAAAGCTGCATAGTGGACTGGACCTGGGGGGAGGGATTGTAAAACAAAGAAAGAATTTTTTTTTTTTTTTTTTTGGAAGGGAGGGGGGGGAGTGGGGGGGGGGGAGAAAAGGGCAACAATGAATGAGTGGAAATCCAAAGTCTCTTTAAATTTTCATTGAAGTTAATAATTATAATAATAATAAAAAAATCATGCCCAGCAGTTTTTTTGGGTATTAAAGGCAATGAAAAAGAAGTTGGTGTGATTGCAGTAGAGACAATCTGGTAAGTTCTCTGCCTCGCCAGGAACAAAATCCAAATGTTAATGCAATAGGTACAGTCCAGTTGTGAGCTCACAATCCTTCCTGAGTCTGGTTTTGAGTTGTGTGTCTGGAAGTTCATTGAGGATCAGATCTCTAATAAACTCTGTGGTATCTTTGAAACTGTTCCACAAATTCCTTATTGAGAACTTTTCTTCTCTAATTTTACCACTTTTCAATTTGGCTTTTGTGAATAATTTCTGTGCTGTTAAACATTTGTTGATTTGTAATAATTAGCATTCTTCCAAATTTGTTCTGAATGTCCTATAGGTTGACTTTGTGAAGAAACAATTGAAAGCTGTTTTTGAAAGACTTAGCTTGGACCAACAAAAAATACAAAATGATCTTTTAGATTGGACTATGAAAGTAAGTGTGATAAAAAAAGTGTGATGCAGATAGCCATTTATTTGTTTATAGGTTTATAGAAATAAAATAATAATGTATATATATCCCCCACCCAGGTACTTGGTCATCCTTCAGAAGAAAAAAGTAACCTGCTTAATGAACTTCCCCTGGAACTGGAAACTTTGGAATGCCCATATCCTGATTTGAAATCGTCAATCATTACTGAGCTCTGTAACTTGACTGAAAAATATCAAAAGAGACTTCAGGAATTTGATCTGCAGATAGAAGATATATACAGGTAATAAGATTAAAACTTCTTGAATCTTATACATTTTTAGCACTAGAATTTCTGTTTGCAACTATACTTCTGAGTTATTTCTCTGTAGTTACTTTGCATTTGAAATATAGCCAGTCAGTACAATTTAAATTGGTGCATTGGTGGCTTAGTCAGTAGGGGATTGCACTGCCAACCCAAAGGCAGCTCAAAGGCAGTTCAAATCCGCCAGCTACTCCAAGGGAGAAAACTGCACATTCTCCTCCTGTGCAGTTTCTAACCTCTGAAAACCAGCTGGAGAGTTAGCTGTGAGTCGGTTCTGACTCAGTGTCAATGAGTTTTGGGGTGTTTTTTGTTTTGTTTTGTTTTTGCTTTTCAAATGAAGAGGGTACTTTCTCCAACATGACTTTAATTTTTGAATGTAAGATCTTGAGATTTTTATAAAGTTAAATCTGATGAGAATATTCCTTATATTGCGTTTTTAAAAGAATCACTCCCCTTACAATGAATTTTATTGCTTTTAATCCACTATGATTTTGTGCCATCAGAAAAACACAGAATTCTTTCTAAATTTTTACTTTTTGTGTTTATTTAGAGAAAATTAAATGTTGTGTTTTAGTTCATATCCTTATGACAATCGTCTTGTAAGTGAAAAATAAAATGTTAAGAAATTAAAAATTCAATTTGGCCAGCAGTCACCATCAGAGGTGGATGTATGTATGTATGTATACAATAATGTATACTGAAATTAATTTAAAGAACACTTCAGAAATACTATCCTGGATCAGATCAGTTGCCTACTTCATATAATATCTGTATATGAGGTTTCTGAGAGATATTTTGAAGAAAACACGTTTTTGTTCTATTATATTAACTTGAAATTCTTTCCAAAGAATATTTACTGAAAAGTATAGGTACTGATGGGAAACATCGATGTATGTCACAGGACAGGGAAGGGGTCAGGTGGGGGGCTCGTAGGGCTGCTGTGAGTCATGCTGGATGGCCCCTAACAATAACAATTTGAAATGTCAGAAAATGAACTTATAAACTTATCTACTTTTAATATTTGATTAATTTGTGAGTAAAGTTCTTTTGCATGAAACAAATGGAAAATAAAAATGAACACCAACCAGGAAAACTTTCAGACCTGCCAAGTAGAGTGCTTATGGGCTCAAACTTTTCAGTTCCAGCATCTCCCTGTCTCAGCAAAACTGTTGGTGATTAAAGCCAATCCTGGGTGAGCCCAGAGGCTTTCTGACTTAGGCTTCTTTCTGCTGCTTCCGTGGGGGTCCTGGCTTTGTTCCTCTTCAGCAGATGAAATGTCTTTTGGTTTCCTCAGAGACTTCTCTCTGTTTTCCCCTCCCTTTATTCCTTCCAACCTTGCCATAAACCTGCAGGGTGGGGGGGGGGGGATGGTGTTAATAATAAATAATTTACATTTGTTGATTGATTAATTAACTGCATTTTAATTGAAGCTCAGTCATAATGTAATGTTAATTCAACCGTGCACTTAATTTTAAGTCTTTAATTGTAAAATGAAGGCCCTCTCTCTCTCCTTCCCATTCTAGCCTTGTTAAAGAGATTTTATAACTTATCAAGCAAGAGGAAGAGGTTTTCTTTTGTGTTAAGAGTGGGTACTATGATTAGGCTGAAGGAGGTTTTATCTGACACAGTCCTTTTAAATTAAGCTGGCTAGCCCATGGGTTTTCTTTCCAGATGACATCAAGCCCCCTAGAAAAGTTGACTAAAAAAGTGATGTTTCTCGAAAAAAAGTTTTTTAGTATTTTGTAGTCAATTTTAACCCCTGGTGACAACTAACACATAATACACAAGGCCACCAAGATCATCTCAGCAGCTCCTGATACGGAGGAGTCAGCCTGAATGGGCTGCAGTGGCTACCACCCAGTAACCTACCTAGTTCATCTTCCCACTTTCCTTTTAGTCTGAACTCAATATCTTCTCCCTTTGGACAATACTATGCCATCCACAAATGTGAGTATAGAAAGCTTATGCTAAGTAATAATGAAAATGATGTTTTTAACAGTAATTTACATTTTGAATAAATATGGAAGTGCTAAACATTAGGACTGTGGCTTGTGGGCCGTAGGACACACAAGTATACCTTGAAGAATGAGTTGTTACTGCTGTGTGCTGTTGTGTTAGAGTCAACCAATAGCTGACCCTCCAGTGAGTGTTTAGAGGCATAGTAGGAGATTAACCATCCTTCTTCTGCAGAGCAGCAGGTAGGATTTGAACTGTGTACCTTTGGTATTACAGTGCATCTTCTTGCCACTAGGCCACTCATAATGACTAGCAAACTAATAAACTGTGATATAAAATGTACTTCTAATTTGTCAGTACTTGCCATCATTTTGGCATGGCAGCTCCATTTTTTAGTCTAGGTGTTAAATCGGTGAGAATTTACATAAATTGTTTGCCTTTATACTTACCTGTAAAGAGTAAAAAACTTTAAACAGATTTGGATGGAAATTCAAAACTGTAGTAAGTTTCTACTGGCCTGGAGATGCCATGTATCATAGTCTACTTTTTTACCTCCCTTATGTAAAGCAGTTCATTGTTTTGGATCAGATGGTCTCTATTCTACATCTTTACCATTTTCTTTGTTGGGGGTGGGGGGTATGCCAATCAGTAACCTCACTTTCCAGACAAAGAGCTGGCTCAGGGTGGTTCTAATCTAGTAAAAGCTCAGGATTTTTGTTAGATACTTTTCTCATAAAGAAGTAAAATAGCACTTTCTCTTCTCCCTGGAGGTGACCAACCAAGCATATCGCTGAGGTTGCTGCTGAAATCCAATCTATGAATGAAGGAAGCCAGCTCACAAGGAGAGAAAAAGCCCACAGAATCACAAAGTAATAATACAGCAAGAGCTGGAGCCTAGATTGAACTGTATGGAAGGAACATTTTACTACTAGATTTTCCAGGACCATTAGTTCACACTATTGGCTTAAGCTGGTGTGTTTCTTGGTTGCATGCAACTCACCCTATTAAATAAGCAATAAGTATCAATTGTCTCAAATATAAACAAAACAGGCTCAAGAAAACAGCAGTGATTATAAGGAAATCTCAACACTGCACAGTATTTTGTTCTGTTGTATGATCACTATTATTTTAAATGATCTTTGATGGCATCCAATGAGAACAACAGTAAGGATGTGTGTGTGTGTGTGTGCCCTTACATGTCTTTGGGCTGGTGCAAATGGCTTGACTACTAACTGAAAGTTTAATTGTTTAAGTCTACCTTAAGATACCTCAAAAGACAGGTCAGGCAATCTATTTCAGAAAGATCACAGCCTTGAAGACTCTATGAAATAATTTTGATCAGTACATATGGGGTCCCATGAGTGTGAATTGACTCCTCAGCAAGCAATAGCAATTTACCTTTATATACCTGGAGCAATGCATAAACATGATAATATTCATTGACTCTAGGAAGACAAGCTAGATTCCTGTGGGATGAGATACGACAGTTTTTCATTTGTAGTATAATCGTTCATTATGCCTTTTGAATTTTGAATGTTTATCTTTGTTTCATTGGCTACGCAAAGGCATTTGGCTGTGTGGATCACAATAAATTGTGGCTAACCTTGAGGAAGATGGAATCTCAGAACACTTCATCGTGCTTATACAAAACCTATCCTTCGACCAAGAAGCGGTCCTCAGAACAGAGCAAGTGATACTGCATGGTTCAAAATCTGGAAAGGAGTGTGTCAGGGATGCATCCTGTCCCCATACCTTTTCAATCTGTACGCAGAACAGATTATTTGGGAAGCAGGGTTTTATGAGGAGGAGTGTGGCATCAAGATTGGAGGGAGACTTATTAACAAACTATGATATGCAGATGACACAACCTTGCTTGCTGATACTGAAGAAGACCTGAAGCATTTGCTGCAAAAGGTCAAGGACTGCAGCCTTCAATATGGATTGAAGTTCAACATCAAGAAGATAAAGATTGAATTGCACTGGGAAAATCTGCTGTCATGGACCTCTTCAGAGTGTTGAAGAGCAACAATATCAGTCTAGATACAAAGGTGTGCCTAATCTAGGCCATGGTCTTCTCTATTACTTGTTATGCTTCAGACAGTTGAACAATGACTAAGGATGACAGAAGAAGAATAGAGACCTTCAAGTTGTGGTGCTGGAGAAGAGTCTTGAACATACCATGAACTTCCAAGAAAACAAATAGGTCTGTCTTTGAGAGGGTGAAACCAAGTGTCTCCTTGAAGGCTAGGATTTTGAAGCTCCACCTCACTTACTTTGGACACATGGCCAGGAGAGATTGTTCCTTGGGGAAGACATCATAATCAGAAGGGTAGATGGACAGTGCAGAGCTGCTGTACACAGGGTCATTATACACCACAGTTGACTCAACGGCACATAACAACAATAACATACTATGACAGTTCAAATTCACCAGATATTCTGCTGGAGAAGGAGGGACAATCTCCTCCTGTACCAGTCAGATCTGATATGATGGTACACACACACACAAAAATAATAAAATTAAAAAAAAATTTAAAGACCTCTAAAAAACAATGACATACTATGACAGGTTTGGAAGCAAGAATGGCATCCACTTTCTAAACACATGCCTCTGGAAACTGTATGAACTCTGATAAATGTCGATAGTTGTAAAGGGGCTTCAGGCCTTTTGTTCATAGAGTCTCTATGAGTCATGCTCAACTCAAAGGCAATCAACAACAACAGCAATTTTTTTTAAATCTGTTAAATATTTTTTAATATTATTTTGTTTCAATTTTTATTTTATTATTTTTGTGTGAGTGTACCGTCAAATCAGATCTGACTGGTACAGGAGGAGATTGTCC